GGATGGATGGATGGATGGATGGATGGATGGATGGATGGATAATAATTTTCTATTAAAGTTTAGGTTTTACAGGTGTGCAGAAGTCTAGTGAGGAAGTTCCATTTAGGTTTTGGATTACTAGAAATCTGAATTGAATCTAAATTCAGTGAGTAGAGAGAATCTGAGTATGTGTTTGCTAAAAAGTCAAGTTTGGAATTAAAAAAACAGAAAAAAATCACTCCTCCCATCAGTCTGGCAATAAATACAGACAATCTTTTATCACTTTGCACAAACAATTTAGCTCATTACAAATATGGAAAGAGGAAATGCTGCATGGATCCAGAGTAACAAAAGGAGCAAACATGTCCACAGACAGACAGCAGGATGTGATTTAGTCTCTCACAACATTTACACTGTCTGCCAGTAAATTTGAAGTCCTAACTCAATGAATTGTTGTCATTGCTCAAGGATGTATACACAACATCACACAAACCCTAATCTTTTCCCACAGGGATCAACCTCCCTGCACCGAGATGATGCCTCAAAACCCCAACCCTGAACGCTCCTCGTTTCTCTGTAAACTTGTGAACTGCGTCGCGTTCGGCAGTCATAAAATCCAGCGCCGCGGCTCAGCGACACCTGAACAAACACTGCTGAGAACGGAGGTGAGTGCTGTGAAAGCACAGAGCTACATGGACTGCATTTATTACACGGCACAAGTGTCAGAATGTGTCTGTTCGTGGTTTCACCAAAGCCGAGGAGGAATTCTTTAAGTGTTTGTGGCACCTCACATCTTCAGTGTCGTACTTCACACCTTCATCAGTTAGCAGTGTTATTGCTGAAACTTAACTGGTGTGAGAGAGTAAAAGTCACACGGAGTGTTTTGTGTTAAACCTTTTTTTCTTTTTAATAAACACATTTTATTAGACCTTTACTGCTGAAAACATTCTTCATGCACGGCACGAGTGTGATCAGGGAGTAAACTGATCACTGCAGCAGCCACGCACACAAATCATGGCACTTCTTCCGTTCGGAGCCGTGGGGGATTCAAAGATGAATTGTACCGCTTTGGGACTTATTGAGAGGATAGTCCAGTCTTTGTTTAATTTCAGCAGCCTACAACATTTGTGAGTTTTCTTCTCATGCTTGGCAGGGTCCAGGACCAAGGGCGGCAAAGATTGATGCCTGCTGTCACTGATAGGAAGTTGGAGCTGCTAGGCTTCACTGCAAGTCCATGTCCTCGTCTCTGGACTCGGTGGGACACTGCATAGTTTGGCAAGACCTATTCAGGAGGGAAGTCCTGTTCATGGTGAGAACTAATTCCACAAACCCTGCACTCCCAGCAAGAGCAAAGAAATGTTGAATACACCAGTTCCATCTAGACAGCTTTAACTTCTGACTGCTCCAGAATAACCAGGACGAGTGCAGGCTAATCAGGAGAGGACTTTTATTGTCTTTTATAAAATGATTAAGAAAATACCTGTTAGTTGCCTGTAAAGTCTCAGCAGTTCTACAAATAAATGAAATAAATACCAGCGTTCCCTCAGAAGCAACCTAGAAGCTACAACCAGCTAGCAGTTAGGCTAACTCTCAAGAGGCAAACTAATGCCAATCATGGCCTGAAACAATAATTAAAGTCCAACTGACACCATTATAGTCCCAAATGTGTGTGTGTGGGGGGGGGGGGGGGGGGGTGTGCATTTTCCCCAAAAGATTACCCATCTTTGGTGCCTCCAGCCTTAGGCCACAGAAATTTAGCAGTCTTGCATGATGGGATCTCTGGTGTGATGTCACACCCCATAAAGAGCCAGTTTCCAAAGCTGTGACAGAAACAGTTGGAAATCTTCCCAAAAATTGAATTGTTAAACCAGTTTACGTCACTTTTCCACGTTTGTCACTGAACATGTGTGTTTTTTGTCATGTCTTTATCACATTTTGACGGACATATGGTATTAAAAGATGGTGGTTGTTGGACTTTAATGAATATACGCTGCTTTTTTTAATCTCAAATTGACGCTTTTTTTTTTCTTGTTGCTCCATTTACTGAAACAAAATGCACTTTTTCTTTTCAGTTCGATAATGACTGTATAACGACCGGTTTGAACGCACTAATGTATATGACACAACGACCTTTTCTAAGCAGCTATAAAACAACGCAGAGAACATTTGGCAGTACAATAATGCAATAATTTACAGTTCT